ATTTTCGCTTCGATTCAAATAGCCCCTTTATAAGGACCCCCCACTCAGCAACTGGTCAAAGTTGCAAGTGACCTACGCCGTATAGAGGCCCAGAACGAAGCAGATTCCAAAGATTTCTTTTCACTCGTTTTTTACCTTTCCTGGAAGCGCGCAGCGAAAATGAAGCACACTTTTCAGGTCCTTGCATGAGCCCCTACAATATGCAAAAAACCGTTTTCGAAAAGCGCACCACGCCCTGAACGACCTCCCTTGTCAGAGAGGTGCTAACGGGTACTTCCACTGTTTATTGAACCATGAAGTCGCTTTAGCGGATTTTCTGTCATCGCCCGTTCCCCTTTTCTGAGCTTTCAGGTTACTTCTGCCTTCAGGTGTTCTTCACATGAAGAACAATGAATAAATCTTCCATCATTCAAGCTGTACAACATCTGAGTATCGCTGCTCTCCCCACTTCAGAATGGGCCTGCGCTTACGACCCCTCTCCTCCCTCCCTCGCGGTCAAGCACGACCATCTCATTGTGGTTATCATAGCGATGATGTGCTTCGCAAGTAGGCAGAGCATGACCTCCAATAACTTCTTGCAAAAAAAGGGTATGTCTCATGCGAATGCTGATCGCTATCTCGCAAAGATTTTCTACGCATAATGCCAGTCATAGAGTGTATTTTAAGGTATGCAGCATGTTTTTATTAGTGTTGCTTTCTTGATTACAGTTCATGCAAGTCGAAGTCGTCTCTCGAGTAAAAAGGTTTTATTGTGCAAAGGAAATGAGTACCCAGTCACAATTTCGAAGAACAGGCATTGCACAATGGGATAACACTTTCTATTTACTATGTTAGTAATGAGGCCGCACGATATTTTCATTACCACAATGAGCATTTTTCTCCCTTATTCATTTCCGCTTTTGGAGAGCAGAAGAATGCTTCAGCGAATGGTGGGAAATGCGAAAGCACTGTGTTCACCCTGAAATGCATCCTTGTGATCTAAGGAAATTCATGAAGAAGTAGTGAAATTTATTCTCAGACCAACTGTCCGTTAAGTGTCTGCTTTGAAAGATTTTCAAAGACATATTTCGCGATTGCTGCGCGTGGGAGCCATGTGAGCGCTAACAATAAGTGACTCGTCATTGGGAAAAGGTGCCGGAAGCAGGATCAAGCATCCTTTGAGGAATCCTCAACATAGGGTCGTATTTGGTCCCTCGTGAGGGAGGGCTCGTTTTTGGAAGAATCAGTAGTCAGCAGAAGGGTGACAAGGCCTGCGCGGGGTAAGGATTAAGAGCGGAACTGTCGCGATGGCTCAGAAAATATCCCATCGCAAAAGCGTCTTCACGTGCTCCTAACTATGGGGAGTGTGTTCTCAGACTCAGAGAGCTATTTCATAGACAAACATGACTTTGAGTGCTACTAGGATTGTGAATATAGGTCGTGTGCGTGGCGCATCCCATGGTTGAAACTATCAATCCCACTACCCATCAGATGACTTAAAAGCAGGTAGACATGTTCTGTAAGCATACAGTGGGTTTTGGAAGGTACTGCGGAAATTGAGATGGTGATACTCTCACAACTCAAGAAACTCTACTCTTTCAATTCGCACAAGCAGTTCTTGCGATTTAACTAACAAGGGAAGGATGGCGGGTCGAAGTGGCCAATTGAAATGAGATGTATACCGACTGAAAGGTCTTTGGACGGGGATTACGAAACCGTCTTCCATATCTGCTGCGGACCTCCCAGAAGCAAAGTTACGGGGTCTTTTTAGGGGGTGCATAATGGCATTCAGTAGGAATAAACGGCGTAAACCTTCCTCGCTCGAAGCATTATGGCTGACCGGATACGTCGTAAGTCCTACGAACACATGGTTGGGGATTTGAATCCTTGATGCTTTTCAGTTTTGCCTTTTTTTCGACAGTGGCTCTGGGCACTGGAGAGGTTTTTCGCGTAACTCTCGTGCTTGATAGTGTCGTGACGTAATGCTTCTGATCTAATGGAAGCCATTGTGAAAACATTCTTGGCTGTTAACTTTGTCACTTGAGCCGAAGACTTCCAGGATGTGCGAAAGCACCACTCTGGGATGAAACATCTTTCAACGCCATGTGAGTGATGAGTGAAAGTTATAAAGGGGCTGTTTGAATCGAAGCCAAAAATCGCCACAAATGAGCTTCCAACATGGGTCACGTGCTCAAGGGTGAACAGCTGGTTTCATCAACGATAAGATATGGGCACATTCTGAGTAGCTGTACCTCATGAGTCAGTGCTATTCAACTATTTCGATTTTCACGCACCATTGAACAAGATTGTTGCTGGACGTTGATCCTCATAGGCTATACAGTGGATCTGATTGCGAATTTAGTAACTTCTGGTGTGGTGTCAATTATAGACAATTTGGGGCCACATCTTCTTTCCACTGAATTCGGTCCGCAGCAGATATGGAAGAGGGTTTCGTAATCCTCGTCCAAGACCTTTCAGCCGGCTATACATCTCATTTCAAATTGGCCACTTCGACCCACCATCCTTCCCTTGTGAGCGGTAGCAGGCTTTCAAGGCATATCAAGGGGAGTTAGCAATTGCATTATTCTTTGAACTTCTTCCAGATAGTATTGTGAACGAAGTTATGGCCCGCTTGCAACTTGGCGCAAGAAACAGTCTTCCCGTCCGAAAGAAAACCCCAACAACGGTTTTTCTCCTGAGTAATGGACTTTTCCGTAGCGAACTCTGTCGCCTTATAAAAAGTCGGCACGAAGCTAGCCTGATTTTGGAAGATTAGGGTAGCATCAGTTGAAAAGCGCCATTTAACCTTACGGTATGCTCCGTGTGTGCGTTCACGGCCAGGCACATTCAATTTCACGCGCAATGTTTGGGTACCGTATGCATCTGTCTCTCTGAACTTACAAACTTGTACCTGGAAAAGTGGCACCTGGAAAAGGTTTCCAGGTGCCATGTGCACAAGTATGTAAGGTAAGTATGAAAATAGCAAAAAAAAATGTCGGGACTATTCATCCTTTTTCACCTTACCTAAAGACAAAAGAAAATTGCCAGGAAATTGCAGCATTAAGCAAATCGTGCGGGAATTCGCGAACAACTTCGAACATGTAGCATACCTGTACATCCCCGGCGCATGTACACTATTCAGCGACGAGTACAAAGTCAAATCAGATATCTTGGTGCATGAATTCTAAAATATTTTTGCATGATATAAAGTCATTTTCCTCGAAGAAATTTATACACTTAAAAGCTATTTTTGCATGTTATAAAGTCATTTTCCTCGAAGTAATTTATAGATGCTGATAGAATGCATTCGTTGTTGTCCGCTTACTCTACCCTTCAGCCCCTTCGCGGCTGAGAAAGCTGTAGTGGACGAAAACGCTCTTGTGGGCCTGCGATACACGGATCATTAACTCTTTTTCTTTTCCTCGCCAAATCGAATACATCCATAAAACGTACATGAGTAGCCTCTCTAATTTCTGTGCTCATTGCAATTGGAGCAGTTCTGCTTCTTAACTTCTGAACTTGTCATTATGGAGTCTGCCTGCTGCGTCGGGAAGCTAGCTCATACGATATTCTTCTTGCGGAGACGGTGCAGACAGCAATCGTCCGTGGCAGCGTTTCTGCGATTGCACCAGAAACCTGCCGGCACACCTCGTATGACTAAGTGATGATAGCGTGTGTAACCATAGAGGCATTATAAGTTCGTGGTGATTTTATGACCCAGTAGGAAATACGATTAGATACTCGATGCGTGACCTCTCCTGTATTGAGAGGCACGCCTAGATAGATTGTGCATTCTACCACGAACCATACAACCGGGCAGTCGACTCCAATAAACGACTTGCCCACACTTAATCCTACCAACACTTCTGTTACATCGCCGAGAAGCAAAACCCTAACAGGTACGCCCACAAAGCAATAACACACCTTTAAAGAAAAGCGCTTAAATCCTTGAGATATACATTTCGTTTTCCATTCAATTTATTAAATTGTAACCTAATTCGTGTCATACACTTCAAAATGTCGTCAATTCATTTAATTAAAAGAGCTGTAATTAATAGCGCCGCAGACGTAGCGGAAATCCTAGAGCAATTTGGGGGTTATAGACAAAAAGTAGTGTACACAAGAGGATAATGAGTTATGAGAGCGTGTGCACACTGATATGCACGCCTAAGTGTCCGTCTGCCTAACACAAAATAAAAGGGGCTAGGGATATTCTCCAAACTAAAGCGACCCTCTTGGAAGATATCTGTTCTTCTACTAAGTCAAGGACAGAACTAAAAGAACTCAACGCTGAGATAGACGAGTTAGATAAGGAAACTCAGTTCTATAAATTACTCAGGGAATCTCAGTTGTGTGTGGCGCATTCATTGTGAGTATCTCGAAACAACCCTGTTGGCACACGCAAAACCACGAAAATAGAATTAGAAAAGGTCCAACGCAAGCTAAAAATCTCGTGCGAGGCTAGCACCTCACATAACTCGCGACAAGGTAATCTGGAAGATACCAATTCCGAGAATCCGTCAAGCGATGGCCCCTTAATTACAGCAGAAAGATATCGGGCGATAAAAGCCCCCACCATTACATTGCCCCAATTTTAATGGAATACCAGAGGAGTTCCCGGAATTCTGGGCTATATTTGAAACGCTGATCCATAACAATGACGAAATCAGCGAACTAGAAAAAGTAGTTCTACTGAAAGAAAGTCTAAAGGGGGCAGCAGAAAAAATTCTAAAAGGCATCCAACCTATACCCAAAAACTACGGGTGGATGATCGAAACCCTTACAAAAAGGTACGCCAATAAGCCAGCAAACAAGTCAAAGATCGTGCAAAAACTGTTCGATCTTGAAGCGGCATCTAAGGAAGCGGAAAGCTGCCAAGAATGCTTCGATACAATTAAAACCCTAGTAAATCAAATGGTGTCGGCAGGGTACGATATAAGGCGAACTAGCGACCCAATGTGGTCAGAAGCCATATTAAATAAATTTCCATACGGGATCGTTAAAGACATTCTCGTGAAGCATCAGGAAACTGATACTATGGAAATTGAAACCCTATTGGACGCCTTGGACAAAGAGATAAGTGCTAAGGCCTACGTCCAATCCCGACTTGGGGCCAGATACCCAAGTCGGAACAGTGGCTTTAAGGCAGAAAGTTCCAGCCACCAAAGTAGGGTGTGTGTTTTGCAATAAAACCAATCACGCATCTCCCTTGTGTAGAACGGTGATTGACCGTCAGCGCCGTCGAGACATTTTAAAAGAGAAAAGATACTGCTGGAAATGCTTTGAGAGTAGTCATTCTAGCAGCGACTGCGGTAACCCTGATTGTAAGGACTGTGGGGGCTTACACCACCTACTCCGTGTGTATTAGAACCGAAAGGCTTGGAAGTTCCAACTACAGGGACACCCCACCCTTCACCTCGAATCGTTGGGCAAGGAATGAAAACACCTCAGACAGCGTACCCAACCGATTTCCGAGACCCAATCCTGCAGTAAACAGAAATACTGTTAACAGGGAAGCGATGCTAGATTTAGTTACAACAGTCTAGAGCAACCACTCTCTTCCAATCAAAACATCGAGAATGGTGATTCTGCCAACGCTTGCAGTAAGCAAAATGAACAGCTCGTGCTAATGACAGCTGAAGGAAACGTCTGGAATCAGAGAACGAGTGCCTTCGAGAAAGTATTATTCTTCTTCGATACTGGCGCGCAAAAGACCGTAATCGAGGAAGCGCTTGCAGAACGATTAGGCCTGCCGAAACTCACAACAGAAACGTGCGTAATGTCAGGGATAGGGGGACATACGGAAAAATTTGTAAGTCACCTAGTCACCCTCAAAATATGTAGCGCACACGGACAAGAACTCAACACGGCTATAAAAACAAAACCTATAATAACAGGCGAGTTTCCGTCAGTTAAACTTACAAAAATTGACGCAGAATTTCTCCAAGACCGAGAAATCTTCATCGCAAATTCAAAAATCCGAGGTGAACGTCAAGTTCCCCAAATCTTAGTTGGTCTTGACTACTACTACGACCTAGTTCGTTCAAATGTAATCACCAGTCGAACCCCATCGGGGTTACATATCGCAAAAACTATTTTCGGTCCGACTTTATACGGTCGTGGAATCATAAACACTAGCGAGTCTATGAATGTATCATACTCCATGACATCAATATCCGAAGTACCTAATCACCATGAAGAGCGCAGTCAAAAAATGTCCGAAGCAGTGAGCTCTGACATTGAATCAATGATAAATAAGCAAGAAAAGAACATTAACTTGTTTTCTATAAGTGCCACTAAACAAATGAATAGTGTTAGTGAGCGCACTACGGCGTTTTGCCCTACTAATGTCCTGTCTATGAACAACGAAGTCCACCCCAGGGATAATTATGATCATTTGGACTACCTTAATGGCATCCCTGCGG